AAATATAAAATTTTTTATGGTGGTACATCTTTAGCGTGTTAAAAAACCGTTGTTCAGCGTCCCAGAATTGTAAACTTTACATCAAACAGCGAAATTTTAACTAAACGTTTAAGGATTTTTTTGGTCATAGTACTTGCAATTGACTTACTGGACAAATACACGGTGGAGGTGGTGGAGGTGGTGGTAGTGGCGGCTACAATATAGATTGTCTTTAAACGGTACTTTTCAGGTGTTTTGAAAATTTTTACCTACTACTTCAGAAATTGTATTTTAACACTGAAAATTTAATTAACAATTTACAGGTTCTTTTACTTTTTGATGTTTAAGATAAACTCACTGGACAGTCACATGGTGGTGGACGTGGTCCAGGTGGAGGAAGTGGTTCAGGTCGAGGAAGTCGCTACAACATAGAATTTCTTTCAATATTTGAATTTTAAGCATATTAGAATATACTATTCAGTAATGCGCTGTTTGAAGATTTATATTTTAAATTATGTTACTCACTATACTAAAGGTGTTATAATCATAGTGATTATAATAAGCATAAACCTACCGGACAATCACACGGTGGCGGTGGCGGAGGACACGTTACAGGCGGCGGACATGGCTCAGGCGAAGGTGGCTGCTCACACGGACTTGGAGGTGGTGAAGCAAATGGGCAACCAGGAGCTGATTGAGTACTCCCACTTAACGCTAATATTGAAAGTAGAAAAAATAGCATTCTCAAGTAGCCTTTAGTTACTAAAAAAAGATTGAAATAAAGTCTTAGTGCTTTAAAAGCAGAGATTAACACGCACTTAAATATCTGTATTTAAATTTGTATGTATTTGCGAAAAAATATTAGGAAAAGTGAGAAACTAAGCAATAGTTTTCGTGGTCACCAGTATGATATAATAAAAAAATCTTACAGGCCTTAAGAAAACTTTGTAAAAGTGTGTTATAAAGGCATTAAAATAAAAGGAGGTTCTTTGTTCAAGAAATGGTTCAAACTGGGAAAAGTTCTCTACAGTACTGACGCTGAGAGAATCCACAAAAGAAATCTATGATTTCTTTTGAGATTTATATTAAAACACAAAATACAAGTTACAGATTAGAGGATAAAAAGGTAGTCTTTGTCGGTGCAGAAGAAGGGTTCACATTTTGTGTCGTCAGAAGGTTGGTGAAGTTTGCTGGCGAAGACAGTTGTGCTGAGCGAGTACTTTACTGCTGATTGCAACCAAAGTTTTTTAAACTTTATATTTATATAGATGCAGAAAAGTGTGTATGTTTGTTTAATTGTGTATGTATTTGTACAGTTATTACCTGCTAAAATGCATGGTTTTCATTCTTCTGTTCGACAGAATAAGAAACAGAAGAAAAAAAAAAAACAAAAAGACAAATGACAATCTTTAAAAAA